ATTAAACTATAAACAAAATTTTCATAATTGACTATAAACTATAAATAAAATTTTATAATTTAAAATTATAAGAATTTAATAAACTGTATTTTTTAATTTTCAAAAATTTGATTATTATGATAATATTTGATTACTAAAAAAAATAGATTATAATATTGAAGAATTTATAAATTTAGAAATTTAGAAATACATTTTTTAAAATTACAAGTACTCATTTTGAAATTTGAAATTTGTCTGACAAAAATAATATATAAATGATTATTTAATGAATCATTATCTTTTATTAATAATATTTGAATTTTATGAAATCTTTTGTATTGTATTTGATTCAGATTTATAAATATATGTTAAACTTGATTATTTCATTTAACATTTATAAATATTATGTACATATATGAACGTTTTAATAATATAAATAATATAATAATAATAATATAAATAATTTATAATTGTAAAATTATATTTTATTTAATATCCTCCTAAATATAATAATTTTTCAAATCAATTCATTTGATAACAAAAATTAAATAAAAAAATTAAAATACTTGATAATTAAGTAGAAAATAGTTTATAAGAAGTCTCAAAGTATAAAGGAAATGACAATGTGAATTAGATGATAATAGAAATCAAACGGAGTCCGGAGGTTAATCAAATGAAGCTCGTGTTTTGGATTTATTCAATTAGTTCTTTTTCAACCTTTCAAAAGTGAGTTTCGTGCTATAAAACAGATACTATTTTAATTTATTGGATGTATGATTTAATTTTTTTAAATTATTTTATTTTAATCTTTTCTTAATCTACGTTTCTCTTGTTTAATTTCTTGTGTATTTTCAATTAGACTATATTTCAATTTATTCAATTAATTCGATAATCTTTTATACGATTTATTTTTAAACTTAAAAAAATTATCTTTCGAAATTACTTTTTTAATTTTTTAATAAAAATTTTTATTATAGATACTATATCTATATACCGAATATAATTTTCATTTTTCATTTTTTAATTCTTGGAACTATTATTAAATTTTCAAAATAATATATAAAGTATGAAAATAAGTAAAACATTCAATGATGACAAGAAATGTATTAATGAATATATATAATTTAATATGATATAATTTGTAATTAATAATTAAAATAAATAGGATGATGAACGAAAGGAAACAGAAAGTGAAATGGATAGCCATTTTATGGTATATTTACATACACATTTTAGGAGTGTACGGTATCTGGTTGATGTTCACTTCTGCCAAATGGATAACAATATTCTATAGTAAGAAAATTTTTCTACATCATTTACTTTTCAGAAAATTTTTAATTAATATTATTAATTTTATATTATTTTCAAATCATTTTTTCAACAATGCTTAATAATAGTCATTGATATAATAGTAATTATAATATGGTTACAACAATTTATAATTTTTTTCAAGAAACGAATAATAAAATTAAAAATAATTATATTTAATTCAATCGTATTTAAATATCATAAAATAATTTAACAAGTGAAGAAATAATGATGTTATTATAATATATATAAGATATATATACATTATAAAAAAATATAAAAAATTAAAGAAATAAATGTTATAAAAATTAAGAATTATAATATTATAAAAATATATTATAAAATTAATAATAATTGCATATAGACTATTATAGCTATTAATATTCTGATCGCTCATAAAAATGATCAATAATTTCATTCATTGCAAGTAAACAAATGAAAATATTTCGTTATTCTATCAAATTCCAATATATTATTTCTTTTTTTATAATTTAGCTAATTAATTAATTTTTCAGCAATTTTCATAACAACTATTGGTTGCTTTGGAATGACAGCAGGTGCTCATAGATTATGGGCTCATAAGACATATGAATGCGAAAGTTTGGTTAAACTTTTTCTCATGATCGCTCATACTTCGGCAGGAGTGGTAAATATCTTAAGATCATTGTGTTAATGAAACAATTAGAAAAATGAGACAAATTGTCTTTTTATCTTTTTTATCTAGATATTTACATGTATTTATAAATATTTATATTGTCTATATATATATATATATATAATATATAATAATTTAATAATAAAATTTCGAAAATAAATCAAGTTTCATTAAAGTTATAACAATATGAATAATAATATCTGTCTGTTATATAAAATAAAATTTCAAATAAAGATTTTTTATATCTATTATTTAATCTTTCTTCTTTTTCCATCATCTTTTCTATTAATAAATCTCTCATCTTTATTTTTAATAAATTATAGAATATAGTATACTTTTTATAGGGTTCGATATATAACTGGGTATTATATCACAGAATCCATCATAAATATTATGGAACTGATAAAGATCCTTACAATCACAAGAAGGGATTTCTTTATAGCTACTATATAAGCAATGTATTGTCGCCTAATATGAATCTTGAGGAGATGAAACGTAGTATTGATCTAAGCGATATCGAGAATGATATTTATGTTTATTTTCAAAAGATGTAAGTTTCTTTCTTAAATATGTATTTATATATATATTATATTTATATTTATTATACGAAAAATTTTTTTATACAAAAAATTATAAAATTCTAAATTCTTTTTAGCTGAAACATGTTGCAATGAAAACATCTATATAAATGGTAAGTTTGAGTTAATGGCTTATATAATCTTGGAAATGATACAATGATAATCCAACATATGAGCCATTAATTTAAACTCATTACTATAATTTTGCCTAAGCTGTTTTTTAATTAGACAAAAAAAAATTGCAAATGTAATATTCCATTAAAACAATATTATTCACATATATTATTTTCATATTTTTCGATATTTTATAAAAATTCTTACAAAATATATTTATAATCAAATATTATAATCAATAATTATATAAATATTTATAATCAAATATTTAATTATCATAGTAATTTTCGTTACTTTATTTGTAGCTTCTACTGGCCATTATTTTTAATATTTGGCCTTATATTGCCTTTGAATGTACCATTGGAATATTGGAACGAATCACTGATTGAGACTATATTAATAACAGGATTCTTACGGTTCGCTATTATAATAAATACATCCTGGCTAATGAATAGTGCACTTCTGGTTTGGAATATCAAGGAAGGAGAAAAGTTAATACACATTTCAGATACAATTAGCTTATTATATAAACTATTTTTTAAAATGCCACAAAGTCATGGCATTGTCGTTATTGACAATAATGGTATCCATATTAAATAAAACATTGCAATCATTGAAATAATGAAGAATTTTATGTTATAATTATTTGATTGTATTTATTATATTAAAATAATTGAAAAATTAGTTTATACAAATATAGATGTAATTTTTTTAATTATTTAATTTTTTAATTTTAATTTTAATTTTTTTTTATTAATAATCAGAATACACAACAAATTCTATGAATTAATTTGATTGGCTTGAATACTATTTACTTATAACATGATAATTTTATTAATGAATTTTGTCAATACATATATTAATAAAATTATTCTTTTATTGTTGATTGTTTCACAATTATTTTGATTATTTGAGGAAGCATTTTGAAGTTAAATTAAAATTTATAATATTTATATTGAATATAAAAATTTCATTGTCAAAAAAATTCATTTTTTAATATAAAATTGTTTAATATTAAATTAATTATTGAAATAATATTAAAGAAATGTAAAAATTAATAGACAAATATATAACAATTGAAATGAAAATTTTCAATTTGAAAATTCAAAATTGACCAAAAAAAAGAAATTGAACTAAAAATTAAACTAAAAAAATAAATTGAAATTAGAAATATTCGCATAATTTTATATTATATTTATTATAATCAAAACAAGCATTAATTAATTACAATTTATTAATCTAATTATGATTTCAGGATTCCATTAAAAACTATCAGCATTTTCTTCTTGAAAAAATCATTTTGGCCGAAATATCATTACAAAATTCCATGGGATTGGAAATGTGGTGAATTTGGTATTTATAATGATGACTGGACTACATTCTTTATTAAAATGGCGCACGAACTTAATTTGGTTAATTCGTTGCTAACAGTCGATACTGAAGATATCAGAGATATGCTTCATGAAATGAGTATAAAAGAAATTACTCTTGAAGATGGCCTCGAAAAGTTGAAAAAGAAATCTATATTTAATATGGAGAAAACAAAATTGACAAAAAAGTATTGAATTAAAAATACAAAATTAATTAAACTAAATTAATTCATCAAAATTCAATTTCATTGTTTACATATTTATTTCAAATATTTATTTTATTGACATATTAAATATTACAAAATTTTGAATAAATTTAATTGAATAAATAAAACTAAAAACAATTAAAAAAAAAAGTGTTCCTTATTATATACTTATATATTTTTACGATTTACTATGTTAACATAAAAATTATTCAATTGAATGTCAAAACGATAAGTTAATGATTATTAAAAAAATTCTTTATTTAAGTCTTCAAAAAAAATCTATGCGTTATTTGTATATTTATTAATGTGCATTATTTATTAATTAAGAATATATCCAAATATATTATTTTTTTCATTTTACATCGTTTGAATTATTACATCGATTTTACATCGTTTTAAAATATTTTACCAGAAATTAACATAAATTATTAACAATTATTAATAAAATCTTTTAATAAAATTTTGTTAAAATAGGATGTAATAATTTTTAAAGATATTTAAAAATCATTGCTTCTTAAAAAAATCAATTATATTATTTTCTTTATTTCTTTTTGAAATCAAGCTCTTTTTATTTATTACAATAAAGAAAATCGTCGATTACAAATTTTTTATATCTTTTATTCACCCATTTTTATTAATAAAATTATTAGAAAAAAATAAATTAAAAAGATACCGTATCCTTATTCTTATTTTTTTTTATTTATTAATCTCAGAAAGCGTGAAATATTTCTTTTTTTTTACTTTTGAATAATATTTGGTAAATTTTTTTCTGCAATTTTTATATAATATCATTATTAGATAATGAAGTACAAGAGGTATATCTTTTATAATTTTACATATACTACATGTATACTATATATTATAAATTGTTAATTTTGAAAAATAAAAAAGAATATTATTTTCTATAATACAAAAAGAAATCTTTATATTTGTACTAACAAATTTCTGAAAATAATTATATTGTTTTGAAGTTTGGTAAAAGTACAGTTAATAAAAAATTAATAATTAAAAAAAATATTATTTGAAAATAAATCAACTTTGTATTTCACGCTTTCGTTTTCTAGAATTAAAGTGTTGCAAACAAACAAAAATGGAAGAAGAGAGAAAAAGAAAAATTAAATATATTTGAATTCCCATATTTCAAAAATAGATAATTATAATTACTAAATAAAACTTCTATTATTGTGACTAAAAATACTAAGAAAGAGAATAAATAGTAAAAAAAAAAAAAAAAAAAAAAAAAA